TTTTTTTTGTTTGTTTTTTGAGACCAAGGTTTGCTCTTGTTGCCCAGGCTGCAGTGCAATGGTGTGATCTCAGCTCACTGTGACCTCTGCCTCCTGAGTTCAAGTAATTCTCCTGCCCCAGCCTCCTGAGTAGCTGGGATTACATGTGCCCACCACCATGCCCAGCTAATTTTTTGTATTTTTAGTAGAGATGAAGTTTTACCATGTTGGCCAGGTTGGTCTTGAACTCCTGACCTCAGGTGATCTGCCTCCCAAAGTGCTGGGATTACAGGCGGGAGCCACTGTGCCCAGCCGAGCTTTGTACATTTTAAGTGAAGTGATAAATATTAACTCTAAGACTGAAATAAGTATGTATATTATAATCTTTAGAGCAACCACAAAAAAAAAAACCCACCAAAAAAAAAGTAGTAACCAAATAATTTATAGATTAAAACGAAATTCAAAAAACTACTCAATCCAAAAGAAGGTGGGAAAGGAGGTACAGAGAAACAAACAAGCAAACAAAAGAGAAGCAAATAATAAAACAGTAAACTTAAATCTAAGCATGTCAACAACTGTGTTGAATGTTAAAGCACCAAATATTCCAATTAAAGGCATACATTGTTAGAATGGATAAAAAAGCAAGACCCACCACCAGGCATGTTGGCTCACACCTGTAATCCCAGGCACTTTGGGAGGCCGAGGCGGGAGGATCCTGAAGTCAAGAGTTTGAGACCATCTTGGCCAAAATGGTGAAACTCTGTCTCTACTTAAAATACAAAAATTAGCTGGTCCTGGTCACGCATGCTTGTAATCGCAGCTACTTGGGAGGCTGAGGCAGGAGAACTGCTTGAACCTGAGAGGTGGAGGTTGCAGTAAGCTGGGATCAGGCCACTGCACTCCAGTCTGGGTGGCAGAGTAAGACTCTCTCAAAAAAAAAAACAAAAAAAACAAAAACAAAAAGAAAAGGCAAGACCCAACTATATTCTATCAGAAACATGCTGATAAAGGGATGAAACACAGCTGCGGCATACCATGTAAACAGGCATAAGGAAGCTGGAGTGGCTATATTAATATCAAAGTAGACTTTAAGTCAAAATATTATCAGAGATAAAGACAGACATTTCATAATGGTAAAAGAATCAATTCATCAAGACATAAATACATATGCACCTTATAAGAGAGCTTCAAAATTGATAAA